TTCATTTTTTATAGAAGAGTACATTAAAGTATTTTATAAAAAAGTGTCCTCTGAGCTGTGACAACAAGGAGATATGACAAGTGTTAGTGAAAATAGTTTTGTTTGTAGATTTTTATACAAAAGATTTAAGACACAAACGATATATACATTGGGGGGAAATGTTAGTTAAATAGAAAGAACTAAGAAAAGAACACGATAGACATGCATACAAATGAACAAAATATAATGAATAATTGATTTATATTATATACAAATGAAAAAGGGATAGGAAATTGCAATTTACACAGCAATTTGATTTAATTTTGCATTAATACATTTGTAAGTGTGTGAATTATTCTAATTGTAAACAATAATAAATTATTACGAGAATAAAATTAGTCTGATGATTATTTTTGTTTGTTTACTCTTAAAGGGTGTTCTGTAATATATATAAAACTGCTAATATTTCTATGTACACAATATTAGTCAATTCTCTATAATAATGTTTTGTATTTTATATATATATATATATATATATTTTTTTTTGTTACAACTTAATACCTATTTACTTTTTTATTTACATTTTTATTTTTACAGATACACAACAAAATTACATAAATAATTCACCATGACGATGTGCTAAGCTGAGGGTATGTATCCGGTCTTAAGAAAACAAACAAAAAATGCAAAAAAACATAAAAATACATTCCTTCATCTCTATAAACTCTTGACATTAGCAAAAAACTAAAAAACCGGTAAGTAAACACATGTTTATTAACACATAAACTTAATTATTACTTTGCTTTTTGGAAAGGTTTTGTAAATTAACTAACAAAAGGTAATTCCACAAAAAAAGATGACAAAATATGTTGTAAAACTTATAGACTTCTCTCCCAGTCACATATTTGCAATAATTTGTAGGCCGTTCCAAAATAATAACATTAAAAAATGTTAAAAAATGTTGGCACAAAACAACAACAGATGGTTGTTGTAAAAGTATATGAATACTTTATAAATAAAATAAAAATAATTAAAATAGAAGGGAGTGTACTAAGCCCATATATTAATATGTTAGTTACGATGTTCAAATTTTGAATATGATGAATATTTAAATGTAACTCAAGATGATTTTAGACCCATGAGGGCGAAATTGTAAGTCAACTTAGTAGTTATTGCAATATGTATTTCATATAGAACAACATTTTGACATAGCAATCAAACAAGAGAACAATGCGACATAGAAGACATCCACTCAGTAGTGGTTTATTAAATCATCTTAGGATTTCCTTGATAAAAAATAATATAATTTTCTTTAAGTAATTATTTTCGTGCAGAAAATATTCTATAATAAAATTTGTTGAATTCAATATTATTTTATTGTGTTAAATTATAATAAATCAATCAATAAATCTCTATTAGTGTTCACTCCCCTATGTGTTATTAGAAAATTATTTTTATCATTTTTTGCTTGTACCTAGGCTTTTACCTCTATCTTCGATAACAAATAATTAATTCTATTAAACAAAAATAATTAATTCTTATAAACAAGTAACTCTAGTTTTTATGGCTTTGCATGGCATGTGCATCTGTGGTTATTAGAACAAAAGACTTAAGCGACAAACTTGAAATAAACAACTTGTTTTGTTATTCTAAATATTTGAGATTTAGAAAAAGATTGAAATTATGCGAAACTTTTTAAAATTGCTAATTGCTAATTTTGCAAAAACAATTGCTAATTAATTAAATTATCTATGCAGAATCGTGAAATAAATAAAATAAACATTTTAATGCAAATTGTTGTACAAGGACATGCTTTTGGAGGAAGTAAGGAAGTTAAGAAACGAATGTTAATGAAATAAGTCTATAATAAAATTCAATATGGGGAATTCTAAAAAATCTAAATATAAATTATCGAGAGAAGGCTTATCACTTTTTATGGACTCATGATAGTGCTATGGACAACGTTTACTTGCAACAAGACGGTGATATGTGTCACATAAGCAACGAAATCGTGGTTCTTCTACGGGAAATTCTTCCGTACAGTGCTATCTCTCGAAGATGTTATAAAACTTGACCAACGAGATTTTTTTATTTAACACCTCGAATGTCACTTCTTCATGTCACATGAATGATAAGATCTTCGATAAGATGATAAATTAGGTGAAAAGTATATGGTTCCGTAGGGCTGATTGTGGTTGCCGTTTGGCTTACATATATTTTTAATTATAAACGGTATACCTTTATCTACATCTAGAAATAAACTTTCGATAATTAATACAAAAAAATTGATTTTCTATTTGAATACCAAAATAACACCTCTTATTGGAAAATCCAAGAGGTCCAGGATTTTACATAACCTCTATATAAATACTCCTATATTTTCGGTGAATTGCATTTATAACTTTTTGAGGTACCATGTTCTGACATAGCCTCCATATATAGAATTGTGTCCTATTCTAGGATATTCTCATTATATTTCTGGAAAATAGGATACCTTTTCGCCTCCACATAAATAGTCCGCTCATTTCCGGTGAAGTAAAGTACCTAGAACTATTTTTTTGAACCGAATTGGCAGCAATTTTATATTTTGACTTCGAAGTGGTAGAATTTTAATTTTTTTCAGACAATTATCAACATAGGTTCATTTCGGAAGCTTGGTTGGGAAGTTTGGTACTTAACACCAAGTGATTGTTATCTTTTTTTTGCATTGCAAAATTTATTTAATGATAAAAAATTTATATCTAGGGAGGATTGTGAAAATCGACTACTATAGTTTTTGAGAGCAGGACTTCTATGAGATAGGCATTATGAAGTTATCTTGAAAATGACAACAAATAATTTTGCATATTTGGCCCAAATCGGACATTCCGAAGCATGTTAAATAATGTCCTATAGCGCATATAAAATTATACATACATTAGCCCCCACCCCCTTTAGCTTTAATTTGCCATTCTGGATTCAATGTTTTCATAAATCTCCAGATTATGGACCAGCCTCATTTTTGATACAGTGAAGGACCTACAAGCATTTGCTTTTTTTGAGATATCCCCTTATAAGGCACCGTCATTTATTTTCGAATAGGAACGGTTGTTACGTTTTATTTTGGGTTATAAAAAAATAGTAGAGTCAAATAGGTCAATTTTTATACTATCCATCATATGGTGGAAATATTCACCGGATATCCCATAAAGATTATTCTTTTAGGATTAAAATAAAATTCGATGTCGATTTTTAATGATAGAGCTAGGATGTTTGATATTTCAAATGGGATATATTGGTCCAAATTGGGGATATAGCTCCCATTTAATGGTACCAAATGGTACTTTTTTTGAACCAAACAATTTATATTTTGTGTTCTCATAGGGTAGAAAATATTTCAACAAAAAAATCGCCCTAAAAAGGCATAAAAACAAAACTCAAAAAATTGTCAATATAGACGAGGAGGCCCCTGTTATTTGGAGCATATTTTTCAACTTAATATGCTCTAATTTGATAATTTGCGTTCTCATTAGGGTTTCAAGTCTTCCCAGCAAAAATTGACCATGGCTTGTGACCTATATGAAAATTCTGATCGATTCGATTGTCCACCTCAATGTTGGAGGGTATAAAAAGTTCGATCGGATCAATCGTTTTTACTCTTTTTACTCTCTTTTGGTCTCTCTTTTTGTGGTCACGGAGTATCCTCCCTATCAATAATGACTGAAGTTTCGATGTATTCCACATATAAAGGTACACCTGGTTATTTAGTATTTTAGTTGGATTTTGGGCATTTGTTTGAATTTTTTTTCTAATTGGATATTTTGGGTTCGTATTGGGTGTCAAGTCTTCCTACCAAAAATTTACCAAGTCATAACCCCACATAAAAGTTCCGATCCATTTTAGGTATTTTGAATGTTCACCTCTCGTGATGGATTCTATGAAAAGTTCGGCTCGGTCGCTTTTAAATGATCTCTTTTGAAAGTAGGTTTCAAATTGGATTATTTTCTCAATTTTATTTTATAGAACTGTAGCAATGATTTTTTTTATTGCGGTCTCAGTGTATATTCCGTACAGGTTAGGTCAAAATTTCTGATGAAATTTTACGAAGTTGAAGAAAATTACTTTAAATGACTCTACTTTTAATTTTGAAGAATATCTTTCTTCTATGAATAAATAAGTAGAATAGAAAATCTATTCGTTTAAATTTTTGCAATTTTTATTCATTTTTTTTTGCGAACAGCCTTTTTGGCTGAGATTCAAAAAACCAACGATTATCATAAATATTTTATTGCCTGTCAATCAGAAAAAAAATGGTTGTGTCTAGCCAATGCTACTACTGCTGCTGGTTTGCCAGTAATATAATACTGTTGTTGTAGTTTGTTTTTTTTTGTTTAACCAAATATAAATGTATATCCATTACAACAACACCAAAACCAAAAAAAAACAGCTAAATTGCGAAAACAAAACTTTAAACAATCGCACAAAATAAAAAAATTAACACAAAAATTTAAATTGAAAAAAATACGTTACGATTTGTATTTACTGGGCATATGTGTGTGTTTGTATTTTTTCGAAAGTCTCATGAAGTTCATTAAACGTCCTTGGCTAAATGTGATTTTATTTTTGCACAAATGGAGGGAGGTGGAGAATCCCTCAAAGGTAGTTATGAGGTGAGAATTTTCCCCATTTTGCACAAATTTCCCAAATGGCAGGAAATTTAGAGATTTTTTCAAAACTTTAGAATAATTCCAATATTACCAATAAAACAATGATTGATTGTATAAATATTGATTTTGTATCCAATATTGTTTTGTTATTTTTTAAGTTCCTTTACCACTGTTTATCTTTTTTAAGTTTTCCAAATTTTCTTTTTTCTTCTTTTTCAAGAAAAGCTTTTTTCCTTAATTTTTTTCCATTTTTTTGTTATGGTCTTTTTTGAAGTTTTTTCTTTATATTTTTGATTATCCACATTCAATATTATGTTTTTAAATTTTTATATAATTTTTTTTTTAAATTTCATAATTTTTATAAAGAACACATACATTTTTTAGTAGATACGCTGAAACTTGTTGTTGGCTTTTGGTACGGTATTTGCTACGTAATTTCAAGCTATACGTTAACCGAGATTATCCTACGATTCGGTGAAAGAAAAAAATGATAAACTTTTTTGTTCAACACTGGGTTTTTTCTTTTTGGAAGACTAGACGCGCTATATTTGTCGAGTTGTGTCTATGCTATTGGAGTTGCAATTGATTACTAACGTATTTTTATCACACCACAACAGACTAAAGCTTAACACGCCGTTGGCCTAATCAAAAACCTCCCCAAAAACAACGAAATGAGCTAAAATAGCACCTCATGCGGATACACGAGCGACATCGAGCGAACTATAATTGTATTGTGGGCCACTAATACGACCGCACCATGCTAGTGATATAGATGAGAGCCTATAGTAGGTTGCTGTTTGGCCAATATTATACTTTGTACTCGATGGTGCTGGTTTTGTTGTTGTTGCCGCTTGGCCATAAAAAAATATGGGCTATACATGTATTGGTGTGAAGTGCCATGAAAAGGAGGCTTAAATCACACCAATATTTGTATGAGCCACACACAAGCTTATACTCTTCTTCCTCTCTCTTTTGAATCTCTTTGGTAGGCACTCTAGTTCCCTTACTCATTTACTACTCTCCCATTAAGCCATCTACACACACCACAAAAAAAACCAGCCGAGCTTTTGCCCTCTAACCAGCGCTGCCAGCCACTGAGCCACCACCATTCAGTTTCACTCATATTGAAATCGAAAGTATTTGCCAGCAATTGAGTGGTTCCAGCATTGGGTTTTACAACAGCAGCAGCAACGAATCTGGTTTAGCTGACACTGCTGACACCGTTTTCTTCTGTTGTTGCTGTCGAGTTTTTACGCAAAAAAACAAAAACATCATCAACACCCCATAATCTAAACTGGATTTTATTTTGGTAGACCCACTACCACATAAACAAAACTTGTTTGTTTTTTTTTCTTTCATTCAGTTCGGCTTACGTTACCATCACTTTACCAATAGCCATCGTCGTCGTCATCATCATCTTAGGCAGCAGCATCGTCAGCATCAAAATCGTGTCGATTTTGTTAGGAAAGAAAAAAAGGAAAGACATTCCACAGATTTTTTTCAAAGGCCAAACAAGGCGTGGATTTTCTAAAGAAGATTTTTTTCAAATGCCAAACAAGGCGTGGATTTTCTAAAGAAGATTTTTTTCAAAGGCCAAACAAGGCGTGGATTTTCTAAAGAAGATTTTTTTCAAAGGCCAAACAAGGCGTGGATTTTCTAAAGAAGATTTTTTTCAAAGGCCAAACAAGGCGTGGATTTTCTAAAGAAGATTTTTTTCAAAGGCCAAACAAGGCGTGGATTTTCTAAAGAAGATTTTTTTCAAAGGCCAAACAAGCCGAGGATTTTTTCCAGGAGGCGTGGATTTTTTAAAGAAGATTATTTCAAAGGCCAAACAAGGCGTGGATTTTCTAAAGAAGATTTTTTTCAAAGGCCAAACAAGGCGTGGATTTTCTAAAGAAGATTTTTTTCAAAGGCCAAACAAGGCGTGGATTTTCTAAAGAAGATTTTTTTCAAAGGCCAAACAAGGCGTGGATTTTCTAAAGAAGATTTTTTTCAAAGGCCAAACAAGGCGTGGATTTTCTAAAGAAGATTTTTTTCAAAGGCCAAACAAGGCGTGGATTTTTTAAAGAATCATTTTTTAAAGGCCAAACAAGGCGTGGATTTTTTAAAGAATCATTTTTGTAAAGGCCAAACAAGGCGTGGATTTTTTAAAGAAGATTTTTTTTAAAGGCCAAACAAGGCGTGGATTTTCTAAAGAAAATTTTTTTCAAAGGCCAAACAAGGCGTGGATTTTCTAAAGAAGATTTTTTTCAAAGGCCAAACAAGGCGAGGATTTTCTAAAGAAGATTTTTTTAAAGGCCAAACAAGGCGTGGATTTTCTAAAGAAGATTTTTTTCAAAGGCCAAACAAGGCGTGGATTTTTTAAAGAATCATTTTTTAAAGGCCAAACAAGGCGTGGATTTTCTAAAGAAGATTTTTTTCAAAGGCCAAACAAGGCGTGGATTTTTTAAAGAATCATTTTTTAAAGGCCAAACAAGGCGTGGATTTTTTAAAGGCCAAACAAGGCGTGGATTTTTTAAAGGCCAAACAAGGCGTGGATTTTTTAAAGGCCAAACAAGGCGTGGATTTTTTAAAGGCCAAACAAGGCGTGGATTTTTTAAAGAATCATTTTTTAAAGGCCAAACAAGGCGTGGATTTTTTAAAGAATCATTTTTTAAAGGCCAAACAAGGCGTGGATTTTTTAAAGAATCATTTTTTAAAGGCCAAACAAGGCGTGGATTTTTTAAAGAATCATTTTTTAAAGGCCAAACAAGGCGTGGATTTTTTAAAGGCCAAACAAGGCGTGGATTTTTTAAAGAAGAATTTTTTTAAAGGCCAAACAAGGCGTGGATTTTTTAAAGAAGAATTTTTTTAAAGGCCAAACAAGGCGTGGATTTTTTAAAGAATCATTTTTTAAAGGCCAAACAAGGCGTGGATTTTTTAAAGAATCATTTTTTAAAGGCCAAACAAGGCGTGGATTTTTTAAAGAATCATTTTTTAAAGGCCAAACAAGGCGTGGATTTTTTAAAGAATCATTTTTTAAAGGCCAAACAAGGCGTGGATTTTTTAAAGAATCATTTTTTAAAGGCCAAACAAGGCGTGGATTTTTTAAAGAATCATTTTTTAAAGGCCAAACAAGGCGTGGATTTTTTAAAGAATCATTTTTTAAAGGCCAAACAAGGCGTGGATTTTTTAAAGAATCATTTTTTAAAGGCCAAACAAGGCGTGGATTTTTTAAAGAATCATTTTTTAAAGGCCAAACAAGGCGTGGATTTTTTAAAGAATCATTTTTTAAAGGCCAAACAAGGCGTGGATTTTTTAAAGAATCATTTTTTAAAGGCCAAACAAGGCGTGGATTTTTTAAAGAATCATTTTTTAAAGGCCAAACAAGGCGTGGATTTTTTAAAGAATCATTTTTTAAAGGCCAAACAAGGCGTGGATTTTTTAAAGAATCATTTTTTAAAGGCCAAACAAGGCGTGGATTTTTTAAAGAATCATTTTTTAAAGGCCAAACAAGGCGTGGATTTTTTAAAGAATCATTTTTTAAAGGCCAAACAAGGCGTGGATTTTTTAAAGAATCATTTTTTAAAGGCCAAACAAGGCGTGGATTTTTTAAAGAATCATTTTTTAAAGGCCAAACAAGGCGTGGATTTTTTAAAGAATCATTTTTTAAAGGCCAAACAAGGCGTGGATTTTTTAAAGAATCATTTTTTAAAGGCCAAACAAGGCGTGGATTTTTTAAAGAATCATTTTTTAAAGGCCAAACAAGGCGTGGATTTTTTAAAGAATCATTTTTTAAAGGCCAAACAAGGCGTGGATTTTTTAAAGAATCATTTTTTAAAGGCCAAACAAGGCGTGGATTTTTTAAAGAATCATTTTTTAAAGGCCAAACAAGGCGTGGATTTTTTAAAGAATCATTTTTTAAAGGCCAAACAAGGCGTGGATTTTTTAAAGAATCATTTTTTAAAGGCCAAACAAGGCGTGGATTTTTTAAAGAATCATTTTTTAAAGGCCAAACAAGGCGTGGATTTTTTAAAGAAGATTTTTTTAAAGGCCAAACAAGGCGTGGATTTTTTTAAAGCCAAACAAGGCGTGGATTTTTTTAAAGGCCAAACAAGGCGTGGATTTTTTAAAGAATTTTTTTAAAGGCCAAACAAGGCGTGGATTTTCTAACGAAGATTTTTTTCAAAGGCCAAACAAGGCGTGGATTTTTTAAAGAATCATTTTTAAAGGACCTTCCAAAGGCGTGGATTTTTTAAAGAATCATTTTTAAAGGACCTTCCAAAGGCGTGGATTTTTTAAAGAATCATTTTTAAAGGACCTTCCAAAGGCGTGGATTTTTTAAAGAATCATTTTTTCAAAGGCTTATATAGGCGTGGATTTTTTAAAGAATCATTTTTTCAAAGGCTTATATAGGCGTGGATTTTTTAAAGAATCATTTTTTCAAAGGCTTATATAGGCGTGGATTTTATAAGGACTATTTTTCAAAGGCTATGGCAAAAATGTTCCCGCTTAATGTAAAGGAGGTAGTCTGGCGGGTCATTATCGATTTTGTCATCTGAATGATCCATCTATGTGTGCAAGTATTTGTCATTTGAGAAACATATTGTTAAAATCTTGTCAATGGCTGTCTATTACAACAATCGAGTATTGTAATACTGAAATTTTCGGGAGATAGATGCTCATCTACACTTTACGGCCGTTACATGACGTTGCGATGGCATGCAACAACCCATTGACTGCTACTTGCATAAGTCAGACATTTTAATCTTTGGAAATTGCAAAAGCCATACCTATTGGTCGTTAAATGAAAAAAATGTAAAATCATCTCACTTCTGGCAAAAATGTTGTTGCCACAGGTATGGATTTTTTTATAATTTTTTTTCATTTGTTTTTTCTTTTCTTAAATAAAAAACACATTTTCTATTGTAATTTTTTATGTTCAAAATACATTTTGGTGCTTATCATACCCAGAGTCTATGAAATATAAAAAAATATTATAATAATAAAATGAAACCTGTCTTCATTGAGTTTTCGAACAAAAGACTTAGGACACAAACTTGATGGATTATCGATTGAACATAAATTACACAGTTGAATAGTTTGTTAATCGGTATCTTCAAGGGGTTAAATCGCATGTATATCCTACATGGCTACATGTGTGGGGGAGATTTATGAAATAGGTCATGCGACTGGGGTCGATGTTGGCGCATATTATGTGAATGTACTGCCATAATGTTGTGTTTTGGATTAAAAATACACGACTTATTACCTCGAAAATAAAAAGCTACAAATTTGCAATAAAATTAAAAATAATGATTTTGAAGGTCTATCCTTTCATCCAACGTGTTTTAACCGTTGATCTTTTATTTAAACAAGATCAAATTTTGTTGAATCATCACGAAATGTTAATTGAAAGGCCTTCTAAAATAAATT